CAGCACCACTGGGAGGATTCTGTAGGGGTCTCGCTCGGTCGTTCGAGAGGGAGAGGACGTCTGTGGCTCGGAGAAGTTTTTCCAAGGCAACAGGAATTCTTCGGTTGCTGATTTTCTTGTCCCATTGAGGTATAGACTGCTCTTCTCCTCTTTGATTGGAGAGCACCTTTCCCACCCAAACTAGTGTTTTTCAGAAAAACTGGTGAAATTTTTGAATAAATGGTTTGAGTATAGTTTGAATAGATAGTTTGAAGAGTTTGGTGACACCGAGCATGCTGCTCGTTGCGGTACTCCGGCTACGCTTCAGGTGGCGTGTGCTGCGGAAATACCTCTAGTGTTAGGTAGCCTTGATGTTGACAGATAACTATAACTCGTGGTTTGAGTCACTCGATAAGGACCAGAACTTCGGCCAGTGAGTATCGCACCCATGTTTCCGACCCGACACGGATCGCTGGGCAGAAACACCACTTCCTCCTTTTATCCTCAGGCGCACCCACGGCCAGCTCGGAAATCTAATCATTGGGGATGAGTCGTGGGTACTCTAATGCTTTCCGCCATGTCCTATGGGTCGCAAAACAGAATAGACGAAACCCCAAAATCAGAGATGAATCTAAAAATGATGCCTTCTGAATCCTGAACGTGGTAGAGCGTCTATGGAGTGCTGGTAATTGGTGTAGATTGGGCGCAGTTCGGTTAGGGAGGCACCGAATGGTACCTAACAAAACCTTTCGGGCTACTTTGTGAAGACCTGTAAACTCCTACGACCGAATTTGAATACTCGAACCACTTCGCAGTAATTTTGCGGGAGTTTACCGGTCCGACCAAAGTGAGCCCCTTTAGCTAACAAAAAGAACCAGCGAAAGTGCTGAATGTCCCCTCCAAGCAGAGCAGCGTGAAGGCTGAACAAGAACGGTGGACATCCAACTTGAACGCCAAGGATGAGAACCGAAGACTCACGCAGACAACCAACCAATATGTATCTCCAGCGGGATAACGGGATGACGCCAGACTACACATTGCAAGGGTAACTAAGCGTGATCTGAGTGGTGCTTGGGCGATCCTTTTTCATCCACCATATACAGAATGGGGTATAACGTTAGTCCTAATTCGCGACGAGCGCGCTAAAGCAGCTGCCGTAATGGGGTTTTCCAGCCCAGCGTTAATAGAATGGCCCAATGGATTAAACGCGACAGCGCTGTGGTGTGTCAGGTCAACTAGCTAAGGAGTAAGCTCTGGTAATACTGGTAGGAAACTGGGGAAAATACATTCACGGAGCGATTGGTTAACGCGAAACCTGAAGGGAGGATGATTTTACATCAGTACTTCAAAACCTGACGAGTAGAAACCGTACGCTTGGCTTACCTTGGCGAAAAAGAGGCTGATACGACTTGAAGTGACGGATCGAGCTCGCCGTGTTCCACCATCGTCAATAGCTAATGAGCATGACGGTTCATCCATAGCTGAGTCTCTGAAACGTTTGAAATCGTTTTGGTAGCGAAAGGAGGCTTGAAAGAGCGAAAACCGTCAGAAGGATGATGACGAAATCGCATTTTTACATCGTTTCGAGAGGATTTCGTGAAAAGAGCACCACTTGGACATCGACAGAAGGGGCGTTTTTAGGGTCAAGAGGGCTTCTGGAAGATTACATGGGAAACAGGGCCGTCGGGAAGAAAGTGAGCAAAAGGCCTCCCTTAGAATTTCTTCCTCTGGTGCGACCTCCTCCGCCTTGCAGCTTCCTGCCCTTACCATTTTAGCACCTTCCCAGTCTTTGATTCTCCCAAATTTCCACCAGTTTTGTGGAAACTACGATCAAGGTGCAGGAGGGGTTGCTATATAGCGCCACTAAAAATGCAAAAATCAAGGAAAGTCTGTACCAAAATCATTTTCTCGAAAGCAGTTATGACCGGGGCACGCCCTGGCTGGACGGATTTCTCGCAAAATACACTCTCCCCGATGTCCCCCTCTGGTACGGGTTCCCCTTCCTCACCCTCACCTAACATACTACTGACCTTTGCCAACTTCCAGCCACTTTTAGCCAAAGAAAAACTGCCGCTGAACGTAGGAGGATCCCCAGCAATTTTTTTTTCAATTCCTCGCGCACAGGATGAATTCGTCTTTCGCGAGGAAATTTTCTTAGGGCCAGATACCATCGCACCAATGTGGGAGTGTCCCAAAGAGGTGGATAGTGAAACTGAAAAAGTCAGCTAAAATTTCCCGAACCAAATGCGGCCCTATCCCTCCTTCTAGCGATTGAATAGGGCTTCCGCTAGAGAATCTTCGACGTACGACGTGCTCTGATTACGACCCCCTCCCTCATTCCACGACCAAACACGACCCCCCTTCTTTGGAGGTCCCCAGCTCTCGACATGCCGTTATGGAGAATGGGTGATTACGTCGGAACCTTGGTAGATATATGTATTGCTAAAATGTTAGAAACGGCGTGGAGACAAAACGAAATGTATAGAAGAAGAAAGATAAATAAGTGCATAAATCATCCATGGAAAAGTCCTCCCTACGGGAACGACGTTGTTGATAAATGAGAGTTTCGCGCCGTTCAGAGAATGTCACAGCATAGCGCGAAGACAAAAAGCAACAAGAACTCAAAGGCTAGAAAACGCGCTGAAACTCACTTTAGCGAGCCGTCACTGCCTCGGCTATCGACGTCGTCGCTTGAATGGCATTCGATGTTTGCGGCTTGTTGCCAGCTGAAAACGAAGCGAATAATGTCTACGGCTGTCGTCGTCGACGATGACGACGTAACGAACTGACAACGAAAGAAATCATACCATTCGTGAATGTGCAAATGAACTTTTGCGACTGACCGCATCAGCGCTCATCTTCCGGCTGGGTCGCCTCGACATTCGCCGCTGCCTCGCGATGCGACAGCGTCGCCCACGTGGTGGCCGACTCGACTCGCCATCGCTGATCGACCTAAAATATTTCAATAAGTTGCCGACTAATCTGGGGGAGCAGATGGGCTAAAGGTCATGCTCCAACGTTTCTGTATTCAAGAATGCGGAAGGAATATGTAGAGTGCTATACAATGGAATTTGCTCCAGAAGTTCTCATTTTTATTCAACACGTTCATAAAGGACTTTTAGCATTTTGTGGGAAGAATTCAAGACAGGAAGGACATCAGGAAGTTTTTCTTCTGAGGAGGAGAGTGAGCTGGAGGAGCTGAATATGTTTCATGGTTTCCAAAGCTAAGTTAGAAGTGAGAAGAAAGACTGAAGCAAAATGCACAAGAATGTACTTACATTGACCGTTGGTGGTTATGTCCCCCCCCCGTCTCCCCAACATGCCCCATTTCGTTGACTGACGCCTTGAATCTATCATACAGCTACTACTTGTGATAGTTGGCAAATGGTAGTGCTTGATTAGTGCTACCTTAGACCTATTGCGCTCCCGGCCCCGCCTAGGCCCTCTTACAACTACCTCTCTGGGCCAGAACGTGGAGTCCTTATAAATAGCACTAAAAAAAAAGTAGGAAGCCCTCTGATAATTCAGGAAGATGGCAGCGTCTGATGAAAAGGAAAGGAAAATGGGTTGGGAAATGGGAAGGGATGGGGGCTCGTGCCATTACTAGAAGAGGAACTCTCAGTTGGGAAGTACAGTGCACCAGTGAGAGGCGCGGTCACACTCAGGGGCTTATAAGGATGTGCGTCATAGCGATGGGAAGAAGAATTTGCCCTGCAGCAGGACCCCCTCCATCGCAATCTTATCCCACTGATTCGTTGAGATTATCCTCCCTCGCCTCCTTTACTCAGGAGGCCTCACCTCCTTTACTCAAGAGGAAACTCCTTGTGGACTGTCCCATATTTTCAAGGAAAGTCGACAAGGAGAAGGCATTAAAGACCACCGCGAAGAAGGAAATCCTATGCTCTCTCGATACTTCCATGATATTAATCAAGCCCTCCACGAGGAGCCATTGGCTGATTTTTCGACTATGAGGCGTGCTGTTTCTTGGGCAGCAAAACCTCTAGCTCTCTGTGCCGGGTTCAAAATTAGCTTTTAGAGAAGGAGAGCTTGTCCAGCGACATCGGGTTGCACAGCATGTTGAGAATTATCAGAAAGGATGGGGGGGGGGTGAGGCGTTTGAGGCGATGGAAAGCCGTATTTAGAAAGCCCTTCCCTCATTACCAGAATAGTCCTCCTACATATTACTACGATCATAGGTGCTACGCATAACTCTTTTCCGGAAGGCTTCAAACACCTGCGTACGTCTAGGAAGGCTCTGCTGAGACTTGGGCAGTCTAGAAGGCCTCTGCCCTGAGGACTTGGGAGTCTGGCGGCGTCTGATTGACGCATGTAGAGTCGTTATTCAGAAGTAATCTAGTAGTAGTAGGCAGCTGCCTACAACATAATACACCACCATTCAAGATGGTCGATGTTTTGCTTTAATCAGTGCCATTCAGCTATCACTTTATCAATTTTTTTTTCGCTGCTGGTGAACTGCATACCAGCTAAATTAGTTCGCGATATCAGTACTATATAAAAACTGATTTGAGAGTAATCAGGAGCCTTAGCGAATGACGGAGAACGACTGCTGCTTATGCTTAGAAACATTCCGCCCGCTACGGTGTCCGCCGTGTTATCTGCCTACCTGCGGGAAAAAACACTGCCTTGTACCCCAGAAAATGGGGTCAATTATTTTGTGCGCAGAGAACGAGCTCGTAGTCAAAGCAAGTGGGTCGTTATCCACATATCACTGCCAAAACAGCCTTCATAAAACTTCTGCAGATGATCATTGCAAAAATTAATAGCCAAAGCCAAGGTTCTGATGCCCTGAGCTTTTTGTGGCCATATCCGATGTGCGTAGCTCTTGCAGCAATTAGCGCTTTGAGGCAATATGCCTGATCCTTTGGGAGCGTCTGCGTTACTAGGCATCACGAAACAACATTTCCGACACAGGGGCCAAGTGATAATACAATCGTGATGTCCGCACTCGCAGATGTGGCCGAGCGACGCCGCGCGCCCACATGGACGGCAGTTGCCCTAGCCTGGACCGTTTGAATTTTGGGTTGCGAAAGGGCGATGGAGGAAATCTATAGCGGCCTGTCATGCGGATGTCGCTTGGATTTGCATACGGCGGGATGCTCCTCTGCTCCAGATGCGAGAGATAGTTGACAGCTGGGTAGATGTGGCCGCGAATCGCCGGCGCCTGAGACACGAGTGCTGGGGGCCCGGCACGATTTGACGATGGTCGGTGTGTCCGTGCGTAGGCTGGTATGCACACGGCAGCGGATGCCCGGTAGACACGGCGGAGTGCCCCGGTGAGACGGAAGGGCTGGCGCGACCGACGAGGCGCTTCCTTATAGAGATCTTTTTGTAAATCGCGGAGTTGAAAGTGCTTAAAGAAGTAGCGGATTCGGTACTCTATGTGTATGAACGGGTACTGCTGGCGGCAGAAAACCTGAAAGGTGCGAGGGGATTCTAGTTAGTGGGGCATCTGAAATTGCGGGGGCGGATTACGTTGTGTTGCCGCAGCAAAAAGCACTGAAAAGGTACTACGCTCCAGAAGGTGGATAGAGTGTGGCGTTCAGGCAGAGTATTTCCGGGCTTTAGAAATGATACTATTAGCCATCACATAAGCCACATGTATTGCGTATCTTAATGTGTCTGGTCACTAAAGAGGGTGGGTGCGCTTCACAGGTTGTTTAGCTTCTTCCTCTGGCTTCTTCCAGCCGTCTCTTGGGATCTTGTCCATCGTGCGAGCAGGACTTTCTCCTTCGAAGACCCTCAAACTCCCCAAAATAGACCACCAAGAAAGGTTTCCCGGATCCATTTCCCTTAGATTTTATTCCAGCCTTGCTTCTCCGCCACAGGAGCACTAGAAAAATTGTTGTTATTCTTATGTCTGGCATTTTCCTATCACATTTTCCGTCAACAATTTTTTTGCTTAAAGTGATATAGGCGCAGCCTGGCAGAGGCGCTTACGACGCGCTTCACAAAATGGCTGGGTTGATGATGATTCCCCACTGCGTCAGTTGCTCTGATCACTGCTCGCCTATATCGCGCTACGAAACTTTGTAGTAACTTAAAAATTGCCCTAAATGCTTATATTGATATCGCCACGCATGTCGAGTCGGGGGCGGTCAGGAGCGAGCGAAGTGAGCCTCCCCTTCAGCTCCTCTCTACCACAACCAGGGTACAGCATGGATGGGCGCAAATGTCCGTGTGAGTACGACCCCCCCCCCCGCCTCCACGGCCTCTCGGCGACGGCACGACGAGCGATGAGTATATAGTGAGTATATAGTCGGCAAAGAATTGTCGAGCGTATGCGATTATATAACTACTATGCAACGTATATACCACGGGCGTACAAAATGCATATAGTGCATATAGTGCATATAAAAAAATTAATATGACCCCCCCCCCTTTCCACAAGAAAAACATCAACTTATCAAAATAAATGGCTCTCAAAATACCGACTCCCCTCCCCACAGAGAAAAGTACGGACCCCCCCCCATGGGTTTGACACAATCGATGCTTTACCCTGACCACAACTTAGTGATCCACTAGTGACCGATTCAGGAAAAGGGGTGGAAACGCCGTGGTTGCCCACATGTCACGCCTATGGACCCCCCCCCCTCCCTCTTTCCGCGTCGCGATTCCAGCTGCATCATCCGTGCATTGGCTGACCTCACAAGTCACTGAATAGACCAAATCGTCAATTCAAAAGCCACTAGGATCCAAATGGGAGTGGAGTGAACGGCGCACCCAAGATGGGTTGCGCAGCATCAGAAGCTTTATCCTTTCATTTGTTCCTTGCCCACTGATAAAGAGCCGTTATAGCATCATGCGACTCATTGGATGCACGCCCACATGCAAAAGATCAGAGGCGTTCTTTCCCCCGTAAAAACCTCAGGGATTTCCTTCGTCGGATGAGCAGATCATTTGATAAGTCCGCCTGTCGCTTTCGGATTAACTGGCTCGAAGACATTCGAGTGGAAGAAGACGTTTGACAAGGCGAGAACGAGACATGAAAGGATCGCATGAAATCGAATTAGAGATATTGAACTGGAAAGAGAAAAAGTAGTAGGCTGATGGGCAACGGAAGCGTACAGTAGATTCGCTTCCCTGGGACCCTTTAGATAGCCATGAGAGTTGTTATTTCGGAGAAGGGACCGTATAAAAATGTCTCCTGGAAATATAGCAGGAAAAAATATCAGTATAATCAGGAGTAAATAATATAAATCACACTAAAATATAACAGGACAAAGATTAAAATATAAAATAAAGAAATACAAATCAGTAATAATACAGGGACAAAAATAATGCAAAAAAAGATACAAAATAAAAGTTTGCATAAATCTATAAAGGGTATAGGAATATAAGCAATATGCAACAAAGCATAAAAATCGAAATTCAAATAATATAATTTCATAACAATGCCATGCATAAAACGTACAAATAAAATCAATAAAAGGGAAAAAGTATAATTATAGAACCAAATAAAGTCTAAATTTATACAACTTGAATAGAAAAACTCAGGGAGTGCAGAATAAAAATTTTCCCGGAAAGTAAAAACATATTAGTGTAAATAATTCGTAAAATTATAGAAGTTTAAAATATGTGATATAGGAAATTTTGTAATTACAATGGAAATTTTGTCTAAGGTAAAAAAATTTATATACATATAAAAAATAAATACAATGGAAGCAAAATGCGTAAAAGTTAACCTAAAGAAAAACACTAATTCAGGAAATCTAAGCATGATATGAGTATAATAGGAATAAAAAATATAAAAATAAAGTGAATTAAAAGTAAAAAATAATATGTATGCAGAAGCTAGACACATACATAGCACACACACGTAAACTGCAA